AGAGTCGATAAGAAAATGATAGTTTATTGTTTCTTGAAAGAAATGCTATAAATATATTTGTAAATGTTGAACCCTTCAATTTACTCGATAATGTCCATTGTAAACTTCAACCAAATTGTATTCAAATTATGGCTTTTCTCGAGGTTTTACCTGCCAATACTTGGACCTTTACACTGGTTACTAATGGTTAATTAACCAGTTTTGTTGCTCTTTTGCCGATAAAAAGCAAAGTTTTATTTTCTTCTTTTTCTCTGTGGTTCACCTTTTCTTAGAGGTCTTTTTGTGTGTGTTTGAGGTGCTCATCTTGCTGATTATCATCATTAGCATCATCGTACTAACTATCAATGTAGATCGATCATTAAGCAACCAGGTGAAACAGTCAAAGGGAAAGTTTATTACAAAATAGTTACAGAAGGCAAGAAACGAGAACATCAATAACCACTTTACAGTCAATGCTTTTTTCGTGTGCCTTTCCACTTACGACGGGATGACTTGGGATGATGAGAGGTAAGAGGACTTGGAGAGTCTCTCATTGCGTCTACGAATGTCATTAGAGGTAAAAAAACATACAGCAAGAGTCAAGTTGCTGTCGTATCGATTGGATTCAGCTGCTGTCCAATTTTCATTGATTGCTTATTTTCCTTTTCATACTCATTAAATGATGAGTGTTAAAAGTGAGGCGACATGGGCACATGAGGCAAGACGAGGAGTGAGGACAAGCCGAGCATAATGTTTATTTCAACCTAAAAGGTACATCGATTGGAGCATTGACCATTTCTTAGTCTCTTGTCTCTTGCGTTTTGCTGCCTCATATTAAAGTGTCGACTAAAAGCAAAGGACAGCAGTAACACAGAAACCAGTTGAACCTCACATTTAATCATGTCAATTGTGGCATCACTTGGCCTTTGCTGTTGTTGCCTTACATTGCATAGTACATCATTATCAATGAGTTACAGACGCCTGTGCAATGTCCATCGGGCTTGTTCAAGAAGTAGTAGAGAGAGAAAGAGACGCACGCTGAAGAAGTAAAAAAATTAATTGACTTTTTCTCTTCATCATCCTTTCCAAGTAAAATAAATGAGTCAAAAAAAGGTAATCATTATCTTCTTACTTTCACCTCTTTACCATTTTCCCTCCTCTTTTGCTTCTTCACAAAAATGATTCAATTACAAAGCACGACTTTAAATTTATCAAACACAAAATTGATTCCAATCCAACATTTGCCAAACTTTTTGAGTTTACAAGAAAAATCGAAGAAAACTTTTCCAAAATTCTTTAAAAAGTTATTCAATGTGTGAACGATCAAAGTTTACACTTCTCATCATAAACCAAGCCTCATCAACTTAAAGTTAAACTCCATAATTTACCGAGCATTTGAACATTTACCAAAATTCTGCAAAAGATTATTCAAAGTTTAGAAATTCAAATTTCTCAAAAATGAATACTTACCGATAATGACAACCAGCATTATTAGCAAACCCAAATTATAGCCAAGAATGCATTTCGCTCTAAACTCAATATTAGGGTTAAATTGGTTCAAAATCCTTGAGGAGTTTTTACTCTTTTCTTGGTTTATCATCTAATCTTTACAACAAAGCGAATGCACCAAATTTTACCCTAAAAGTTGTGGCGAAAGGGTTCTGAAAGACGACCAAATGACGGACATGATTTGACTAAACAACAGGTTGAGCTTTCTTGGAATTCAGATTCCTGAGAGATTCCCGAAAATAGAGTCAAGAGTATCACTCATGATCGGGAGTCTACTTGTTTGATTAAATTGATTGAATTAATTCGCAAAATTATTGATGATAATGATAATGGTTAAGCAAAGTTGGTTCTGTTGATGATGAAGATGGTGATGAGCAAAAATGTTTGAAAGTAAATATTAACACTTAATTTGTTTTTAATTAATCTTTTGGCTTTCCTTACACGCAACTTTACTTGTCAAAATCAAAGTAACCAGGATGTTTAAGCATCAATTAAATGAACCTTTTGCGTCTTCAACCATCTTGTGTGTGAACACTGAAACTTTTGTGTTATATCAATGTGTTTATCATGATGAAGATCAATTTACTCATAACAACGATAAGAATACAAATTAGCTCGTCTTTACAATTTGACAATCAAATGGCAACTTTCATCTTCATCTTCATCATCATCTTGCATATTCACATTGAAACCTCACCATCATCATCATCTTCAGATAATTTAAAATCTAATATAGTTTTTAAACTACCGTAATAGCATCAAGATTTTTATCAAACAATTAAGTTTGAGTAAAAAATTGAAGAAAAAACTGCCATTATAATGGTAATGATGGTGAATCTGGAAAAGCCATGAAAAGGGTTAACTTGTCAGAAGTGAATTGAAAATTGAATTAAACTACAATCAACCAGTTCGACTAACCCTTTTTACCTCATCTTTCACTTCAACTGATTATGATAATTTGAAATGAGAAAAGGCCTCAACATCATTTATCTAAATCAAAGTCATTCACAGTTTTTTTTTCACTGCTTTTCTGTGTGTTGTCTTACAAGTTTCATTATAATCACAACCCAATCAATTTGAACAACTCAAGCAACTCTAACATTTTTGCGTTAATTTTGTGGTGTTATCATGAATTATCATGAAACCATCTTCATCTTTGAGGCTTGCAAATTTGAAATCAATTAACCTTTGAAAAAAGTTGAACAAGAAGTAAAAAAAGAGTTGAAATTGCTCAAAAATTGGGATAACATTTTGGTGATTGAAACTGAAATTTCCAATGATTATTAATCAATGCAATCATTTTCCTTGAAACGGGTTAAATGTAAATATAAAGGAATGTTAAATTGGTGTTAACAATGAACTGAATCAGGTCAAAGTAAATGAAGTGAATAAAGTAGAATTTGAATGCAAAAGTTTCTCATTATTTGGATAATTATTTTACTATTATCAGTTGTATCGATAACAATGAGAGGCAAAACAAAAGCAGCTAATATCAAATGTAAACAATTGTAATGAATGTATACGTTTCAGTTGAACAGCAAATTACATGAAATTATGATATTTGATAGTTCATTTGCTAGCCAATTTGCTCATCAAACCTTTTCTCCGATCAAAAGCGTTTAGTGTCAAAAGTCAATTGATATTATACTTTGATCAATAAGGTTAACTTACAAAATAACTTTAAGCTTCAGTTTGCTTCTTTTGCTTGGCATCAGTAAATCAGTTGAAACAGATGATAACAGCAAATTACAGCAACCAAAAGATGATATACAATTGGACAGAACAAGGTAGCAGCTGAATTGGTTTCTGTGTATAATAATTGGGTAAAATCAACGGATAAAAGGAAAGTCTTTTACTTCTTCTTTTACCTGTGAAATGTTGGATTTTGAACAAATCTTTAATCAATAAATAATGTTGCCTCAACTTGCTCAGTAACTTCCCTGTAATTTACAAAGTATCATCATTCTGATCATCTGTCTTTAACAATAAAGTTTTCAATCGACTTTTTAAACTTAGTTAAACTGTGTGTGTTGGCCAAAATTTACCTCTTTTTTTTGGATGCTACTAAAGTGAGTAGCAAAATGCAGTTGTTTGCAAGATGATGATGATGATGATGATGAAAGGGAAAAGAGAGAAAAAAACATTTTTACCTGTAATCACACCTTAGCTTGACAGATAACATCCAGGGTAACAACATTAATAACGGCAAGAGTAGCAGCAGTCAAGACTGAGCAGTGGTCTTACACATTGCTTTATCAATGAACCTTGGTTTTGGCCTTTGCTTTAGTGGAACGTAAAAAAGGCACAAAATGATCATTTCTCATTACAGGCTTCAACTGCTATTACCTTTTCCAGTAACAATGTAACTTGTACTTTTCAATTTCTTTGGACTTACCTTTAATAACTGGTAAGCTTCATCTTCCTTTACTTCTCACGAACCCTCAAAATTATGGCATATCATCATCATCATCATCATCATTTTCGTCAACTTCAAGAGTTATATAACATTTCTTTTCATCTCTTGCAATTGCAATTTACACAATTCTTATCATTATCCTCATCGTCAAACATCATCTTCATATTCAACTTTTTTTCTTTCTTCAACTTGCACTTTTCTCTTTTGTTGATCTTGAAATTAGTTTAAATGACACTCACATTTCCTTTCATCTTTTTTCACCATAATTTCATAACAATAATCATAATCAGAGGTTTGATTGTAGCCTCATCCTTGACTCATTTCACACCCAATGAAACAAGACTGAAAATTAGGCAAAACTGTGCGAATTGGAAAATTGAGTAAAAACAAAAAGAAATCATTCATTACCTTGAAAAGCAAGCGCTTGGACAACACTTGTTCTGGTCAGCACAAGAGCAATTGTCCAAACAAGGAAAAGCGAAAAAAAAGTTTTTACTTGTTTAAAGTAAAAATAAAGTTAATCAAGCAATTTACCATTATAATTATAGTGACAATCAAAAGTCCAGCTAATTGTGAATATGATGATAAAGAGCAAACAATCAGATAGCAAATGTACATTTGTTTACCTTTTTTTACCTTCTCATTAACATTGTCCAAATTAAAACAAAAGACTGACACATAAAACAATGTCCATCTGCTGCTTGTACAGTAAAATAATTGTAACCATTAAAAGGTAAATAAAAATGAATCCTTAATGATAACCTTTTCTGATTAATGTTTTCCATTGCTTACAATTGAATAGTAAAAGGACAAATTACAGTCCGAGTGTCAATTTAAATGAGCCAAAAGTGATTAACTGAGCAAACAAACAATCTGCTAATTTCATTGTTGAAACTCTTTATATTTGGTCAACTCCAAGAGTCACTTTACTGGACTTCACTTGAAACTTGTTTCAAGTTTAATTATACATTATATAATTGCTGAAAGCAGAGTGAAACCTTTTTCAATGGGAAACTAATTATCAGTTTCAACCTTGTTTTCATCAAGACTTTATTGATTAAAATGAATAGTCGATTGACTGAAACTTTGTTTTTACCTTTTCTTTTTATTGTTTTAAAAAAAGTTCATTTTTTGCAACTTTTACATTAATTTTTGTTCATCATTTTTCACATACAATATTAAGGGACAAAAAAAGTTGAGTGCTGATTACAGGTGAGAAAAGTGAATAAGGTGAGACGGTCGAGTGTTAAAATTGAAATGATGAAGTGCTCAGGTAATGAAAGAGTATAAAAAAAGAGGTTAAAATGAGTGTGTTTTTTGTTCCAAAAAAGCGTCTTTTTTGGTTTCTGTAAAAATATATTTTTTGTTTAATAAAAAATAATATCATTATTCTGATGACTCTTTGATAACTTTTCAGGTAATTTATCTCTTGATGTCCATCTCAAGATGACATTGACTTTGCCTTTAAGCTAATGGACAAGATGAAACATTTGCTTCCCATTGATTCAACACAAGAGTTTCATTTTCACTCTTTAACCATTTGTTATCCTTGTCTTCTTCTTTGGTCATCATCTTGTGTCCATTTTGTTTTTAATCAGTCAACAGGTAAAATCTGCTTTCTTTTTTTAACTTTAAATATGAGGTGATGATTAGAGCAGATTTGGTGTTTACTTGTTGAGTTTGAGAATAGTTTTGTTTAAACTTTTTTTATGTGATATTATTTTTGACTTAGTAAAGGTATTCCGTGGTTGCTTTGGTAACAATCCTGGCAAAAGCCTAATACAAGTAGACCTGAGTTGAGGGTAAATTCACGGTCACATTTGGCGCACTTTTCAGTCATGGATTCTTCATGGGTTTTCATGTGAGCTCGCAGGTTACAGGGAAGAGCAAACTTTTTCCGACAAATTTCACATTCATAAGGACGATTGCCTAAAAGGAAGATAAAAGTCAAGTTGAAAAAATGGAAACATTGAAAGTGCTCAACTTTGCAACCAAGTTTGTCTCAAAAGTTTCAACTTAACAAAAAAAGTTTAAAACAATTTTGAACTTTTCTTTGACTGTTAAGTTTATCAACTTTTGTCGATAAACTGACAATTCTTGGTGCTAATGATTTATCAGTAAAAGTTGAACTTTTGTCGGATCTAGAAGATTGAGTAGTTTTTAATGCTTACCTGTATGAAGATACATGTGATTACGCATATTTGTCTGTTTACTGAAACCTCGACCACAAGTGTCACACTTGTAGGGCCAAGATCCGTTATGGACGTACATGTGACTCTTGAGATCACCTGGAGTTGGAAATGATTTTGAACACAAAGTACATTTGTGAGGTTTTTCCTGTTTCAATGAGAAGAAGAAAATTAAAAATTTGAGCAAAAAAAGTTAATGATTGACCATCAATTATCATATTGTATTTAGCAGATAAAAAAGGCAAATTTTTCATTCCAAGTGAAGATCAAGTTTACAGATTTGATTATGCAAAGGGACAAGTAAAGTACAAGTTGTTTTCAGGTAAAAAAAGAAATGCAAGTTTCACTTGTTTCATCGTTTATCAAAATGATCATGAATCAAAAAAAGAAGAAGAAAAGTTGAGAAAATGAACGTCAGGATTAAGGTGACCAAGGTGAATAATGAATGCAAGAAAACATGAAAAAGGTAATGTTTGTAAAATGTATTTATCAGCTAATATATTATAACATTTGGTGGTTGCAAGTTTCACTTGAAACATTTGTGTATTTTGTGGCTCACATTATTGATGATTTGTTTATTTGATTAATGAACTATGAACAAATTTGGTGATTTTTCAAAAGATTAACAGTGTATAATAACCCTGATTTAGTCTAAAGATGAAAAATTACTTTAAAATTGAAAGAAGAGAGAGAGAGAGAAGAGAAGAAGATAAAAAAATGAAATGTGACATGAAGCTGACATGAAAGAAGAGAGAAAAGATGAGAGATAAAAATGATGCTTTTAATATCATCAGGAGGTAGAAAGAGGCTCATGTCTTAACAGGGTAAAATGAATTCAGTAGCATATGAACAGGCAACACATTAGCCAAAAAGGTAAACGCAAAAAGAGCATTTCAATATTTTCTGTTTCAATTTGTTTCTTCATCTTCTTTTACCATTTCATTTTTTACTTTAGTTTCTAAGTTTGACTCAAGGCTCAAAGACTATGCGAAACGGATGCAACAAAAGGGCAACAACGCTCAGATGGTCTTGGGTATTGACACTTTTCAATGCACTAGAAGCCAGTGTGATGCTCTGGTTGCGTGTTAAGTTTGGGTGAAATTATGAACGGTCAAAGGAACCAAGAAAAAGAGGAGAAAAGAGCCTTTGGTGAGAGACATGAAGATGAGAGAGAGAGAGAGAGAAGTAAAATCGGTAAGTGATAACCTTCAGAGTTGAGATCATCAATTTTCATCTTTACCTGGTATTAGTGGTGAAAAAATCATTACAGTAGTCACCTTTCTTTTTCTTATCGTTTCTCATCATGCAGCTTATTCTGTGCCAATTTTCATTTTTATCTTTGCTTTTCTGGCTTACCTTTTGTTAGATTATTTTGGCTAAACCATTAAGACGTAATTTAACTTGAAGCCAGTTCTAGCACCTAAAGTGACCCCAAGATGAAAGTATCTAGTTATGGTTCTTGTTGATCAACAAATAGCCACACATGCAATCCATATGAATGCATCTTCTTTTGTGAATGCACTTTGTAATTACACTTTATTTTGACTTCTTTTTTTTCGCCAGCAAACAATCATGAGAGAAAGAGAGAAATGTTGATTCAAACCTTTTCTTTACCTTTTTCAGTTACCTTGAGGGAGGAAAAACTATGAGATCGATTGCTCTTGAAAACTCATTTTTACTCTGTGATTCATTTCTTCTTCAATGTATGTTTGATGGTGTTGATGACGGATTCATTTTTTTGTTTAAATCTCACCTCAACTTGAATGGTTATTGTTAGTAAAAGAAGAAACTGGGAAAATGAAAAAAAAAGTCATAAAACTACTGAAAAAAAGGTAAAATGGATGAGATTGAAAGATGAATAACAAAAAATTGCTTTGAAAATATCACTTGTTCAATTGGTTGATATACGAATCCAGTTTTTTTTGATTATATGATCAATAACAAAGTATTTTGAGGAACATTTACTGGTCAGAGAAATGGTTATCGTTTTAAAATTACTAATTATGGTTGATTTAATAACATCTATCTTCTTCTTCTTCCTCAATAGTAGAGAGAAACCAAAATCTTCCAAGGTAATCTTGTTTCTTCCTTTTCTTTATAAACACCTCTCAACATATTACCTTTACCTTTACTTTTTACCTTTAATTCTGCTATTGACTGGCTTTTCCTTTCCTTCAACTGATACACTTCAATTTGCCTACTTTTTTGCTCCTGTGATCTGCTGTGATCTGTTTCAATAATTGCAACTCGAGCAAATAGTTGTCAGTTATCAATCAGTTGAAAGGTTAGAGGTTGTTGGAGTAAAAATTTGATAAAACTTTGTTTTGAGTAATTATTTGAGTGGTGAATGATGAAAAAAGTAAAAAAATGTGTGACAACTTGCAGGTAAGAATAGCGAATGAAAAATGATGCAAAATAAGAGAGTTTCATTATCGTCATCCATCAATATAATTAAAGGTAAATTAGGTGCTCTCTACCTTGAAATGATGGACAAGGTATGGAAGAGAGAGAAAGAGGAAGAAGAAAAAGAAGCCAAATAAAGAATCAGGCCAGAAGCAATGAAGCAGTGAATATTATGCGTGAGAGTAACGAGAAAAAAGATGAAGTTGAACGTTAGGTTTTCATGATAGTTGCATGTGATTAGCTGTTTCTCAGTTCAACATTCATCAATATATATCGATTGATTCAAGGACTATTCAAGTTTTCAGTTTTTTCTACTTTTATTGAGGTGTGATTGTTGTTGTTTTCATGTTTTTTTGCTTTGTTTTTTTTTCTAAACTTTAAACATTTAAGATTTAAATGTTATCAAGGAAATGAAGCAAATTCTGATTGATTGTTCAATGAATTTTTATAATATACATCTCATGATTACCAAAAAAAAGTTACTTTTCAAGTGAAAAATTAAATGTTTATTGGAATCAAATCAACTTAGCAATTACTGTTATCTCGCTATTCAATCAAAAAATGGTTGCTTTTATATTTGTTGATATTTGGTTATTAGGTTGAAAAAGTTTCAACTCTGAGTTTTATGGTCAAGTCAACCAAGAGTCGTTATCAGTTGTGATTGTTGGGTCAACTTTTGTAACAAAATGCAAAATAGCGTTAACTGGACGATAAACTTGAGTCTTGTTTATCTGAATAGATGTTAACCTTGTGAGTATGGAAACATTGAACCATGCAAAGTTAACCAATAATTAAACTAATTGTTTTGAAATTGGTTGATAGTCAACTCAGTTTACTCAAAAGACAATGTTAAACATAGTGATAGGATGTGACAAAAAAGTCAATAGGAAAAGGATATTGAAAGCACTGAGAAAATTTTGTTTTGTTCAAGTGTTGAGTTGAATTAAACTTGCACCAGCCTTGATTAGTTGGTGATGTTAACCTACGAGCAAACATTAACTTTATTCATTTGCAATGAATTTCAATATTGAAATAACATTTCATGAAAGTTTTCTCAATCTAATGAGCTTATAATTTCCATCCCGCACCCATCAGATTACATTTTGCGTCTCTGAATGAATGAGAACCAATCAAGGATGACCAATCTTTTGAACAACATTATCATCTTATCTTCTTCTTGTCATTTCTCTGGTTTAATCAACATTTTCATCATTTTGTTCATCTCTTCTTGTTGCCACAAAAATCAACTAACCATTCAGTTCCCAAACCATTATCACTTCACTATTCAGATAATTAGTTTTCTTCACTATCTTTTCAACCGATTCTCTCTCAGTGCAAAATGATAACTTTGACCATTGAATAATAATTTTTCTCAGTTATAGATATGTTTAAAGGAAAGCAAAAGGAAAATTACATTTTTTATCAATTTTCTTCATCTTTTTTTTTCTCTCGCTACTCTGAGAAGTAAAATTGACTCAAACGGTGGCTTTTTTACCTTCTCACTTGCTACCTGTTATCATATGCTCAATATTATGATTAAATGTTGAGAAAGAAAAAGAAGAAAAATGCTGCCCTTTCATCAAAACTGATCAATTAACTCTTAATTGGACTGGCAACTCAACATTCAATTGAAACCAAATCGATTCCCTCACCATGACTCAATGTAGGCGACCATCAACAACACTCTGGAACCTTGGAACAGAATCAATTTTGTTCACTTCTAACTTTCCAATGAACATATCAATAAAGCGGATTGGCGATTAAACAAAAATCAACAGTTGAATCCTTCAGCAGGCAGTGAAGGCGAAGAAATGTTGTACAACTTCTCATGGCGAGTATTATTGATCAAAAGTAGCTACTCTTGATGTAGCAATTTACCAATAATAATGAACTAATCTATCAATATTAATCTTCTTCTTTCTCCTTATTTTTGAATATTCAATGAAAACCTGGAAAAGCTTAAATAGACATGTAAAATGAACGCCCAAACTCACCCTTTTTGTTGAATACATATCAAGTTAAACATGAAACTTATGAAAGGGAAAAGAGCTGAAGGCAAAAATTAATAAAAAAATGTAACAATTAATGGCTAGAAAGGTCAAAGTGAAACAAGGTTAATCACTAATCAGTTACTTTGGTTGATTAGTGTTTTACTCGTTTTCCTAATGTTCATGATGGCTGAAAATGGTAAAACCTTTTCAACGAATTATCACAAAATAATTAGAAAAAGAAGTGAGATTAAATTTATTCATTGAGATTATTCAAAATGTTATCGAAACTTTGATCTAATAATAGCTATAAAAGCTGGTGTGGCCAAACGTTGAAGGCTCAGTTTAAATTATAATAATGGCTACTTAAAGCATAATATTTGATAAAATTGAGATCAATTAGGCAAAGAGAAAGATTTGATTGTCTCAATGGTAATTTACTTGGTTGATCAGATGGTAAACCATTTAGCTGGACTAGGAAGGCATTTGGATCTAAATTATTAATCATTTCAATAAAGTTAATAGTTGCTTTGGTTTTCATGAGGAATCACGTTTAAAACAGTGAGCACAATTGGATAAACATGAACAAGTTGAAACTCAATTGTTGGGAAACCTTGATTCTTACTATTAACCTTGGCATTTAGTTTTTTTTAATTTTCCATTAAAATATCATTCAATTTACGTATTGACCATTCAATAATCGCTTACGAATGATACTTTGATTGCAACAGATTTACACTCATTATTTACATTTCCTCAGATTACTTGGACAACGTAAAGTGTTTTTTCCCTTACTTTTCTCGCTGATTGTCTTGATGAATCATAATGCCTTTTGGATTGGCAAAGTGGAAACAAAAGGAAAAAGCCTCGGGATTATCATGATACAAGGGGAACGGCTTTTTTCCACCACTTTATCCACAGCATAGTTCATCACTTTTGGACATGATGGATGTGTTAGATTCGAGTGGAAGACAATCTTATGAAAAACTGTTTGAAAATGTGGTGGACAATATAATGACAAAAAGTCGATCCCGATACAAGTGGTTGAAGTGCATGTTGGCGATGTTTATTGAAGAGCAACCTTTCTACTAACCCGTGTGGAAAAGTTTGAGCGTTTTTCTCGTAATTCCTTGCAGCTAGACATTCAGATTTTCTTCTACATTGATTTTAAACTTGAAACAGTGAAATATGAAAATTTCATAAAGCTAGTCAGACTCTGGTTATTGAAAAACACATCGCATTCAATTTTTCTAGATCCTAAAAATAAGATCGAGTTTTCACAAGATCTTGAATTAAATTATATCAGCACGTAACTTCAACCTTCCTTAATCTATTTAGGAAGAAAAACTGAAAAATCTTTGAATAAATAATAATTTCCAAACTTTTTTCCCACAGGTTAGCAAATCCATTGAGTACTTAATGTTGAATTTAGTGAGAGAAGGAAAAATTAAAAAAAGATGAAAAAAGCGATTTTGATCGATTGGAAAATGGTGAAAATATGAAAGCAAAAAATTGTTCAAGAATTGGGAGTGGGTATTGCTAATTATTATTACTATTATCATTATGAATTATAATTCATCAATATTGACCTTGAAATGGAAGTAGAGAAGGCAAAGAAAAGTAAAAAAAAGATCGAGTTTAAGTCAAGGTAAGAAACAGGTAAACGAGATTGATATTTTTTGCATCAATGAAAGGAAAATAAAATATTTGAAAAGTGAAAAGTTTTGATTTTCATGTTTGAACATGATGATGATTAGGAGTGGTATATGAATGGTAACTATATGGGTTTCTCAGGCAACATCATGAAGGTGATCGCTTTGCAAATGAAAGCAACAGAAAAAAAACTTGTTCACGAAGGTCAATTAACATTTGTCTACTGCGAATTTTTCATCCCTCTTTTTTCTTCTACTTTTTTTTATGATTTACCAATTCTGATTCAACAATAATTATAATAGCAATGAAACTCGGACGATGCTATCTCGCCAAACCTTAGACTATCCCTTTAATTTAGTAGGAAAACTATCCAGTCCAGGAACTCCTCTTATTGTTATCGTTTCTTTCTCTCTCTTCACCATCATCATCATTTTCACCAAAATTTTCAAGCTTCTTATTTTTAACTTTTCTTGCCATCATTTTGCCAATAACTTTCAAGGTAAATAAAAATTTCTAGTTTTGCTTCCAAATGAAAATATCAATTGCAAGTATAAATAACTCTTATTACGATCTGATTTATCTTTATTTCTTGTTCGCCTTTTTGCTTACCTTTTTTTTTAATTTGCTTTTAAGGTGTTTATCATAGATCATTGGACTGACGATGGGCAGTTACTGATGACTGGTTAGCAAGTAGTGTGAAGTTGATTTGTGTGTGGATTTGATTATAAATTAAACTGGTCAATATTGCAGAATCAGTTGAACCCATTTAGACTGAAAAAGAGTAAACTTTTCGATTGTTTTTTGCTCTTGATTATACAGTCCATTTGTGGGTTATCTTTGGTTTCCGGTCATTGCTAATACAAACACAAGGCTTTCAATAGTGGACACGAAACTCTTATCACTTTTTTATCCTTCATTCGGTTTCGTAGACTTTTTTGTTTCTCATCTTCATCATAATTATCTTCTTATTTTTTCGAGACTCTCTTGTCACAGTTGTCCCTTTTTTCTTGCAAGCTGCAGTTTCTGGACTAATTTTACATTATTATTACAAGAAGAAGATGAAAAAGGCAAGACAAAAAAGTACCAATAATAAACAGATATTATCAATTTGCTTGAGGTTGATGCAGCAAAGTAGGCAAAAGGCACAGTAAAAAAAAGAGACAAGTAATAATTATATGAATGAGCGCAAGTGATAAACAGTGCAAGGAGAAGGGCAAAGGAAGCAAACGCTTTTCAAGCCCATAACTTGCAATTTTTGCTCGTACACATTGACTGGAAATTAAACAGCAAAAATGAAGGAATGAGCAAAAGTTCCCGTTTCTGGTGTGTGTATTATTTGTACCACTCCTGTAGAGAGTTGAAGTGAAAACAGTAATAATAAACTTGACCCTTATGTTTATGTAAAAAAGGGAACAAAAAGCATTTGCAAAAATGTTTATGATTATGATGATTAGGATGATGGTGATCACCATAGCCTTGAGTCGGTATTCAAAGAGACAGACAGAGAGGATAAGAAATGAAAAGATACATTGAATTTCGAGGGTAAACATGGTGCACAAATGAAGAGACAGAAACAGAAACACAGACCACTCTAAGTGCAATCCTGTTATATAACAATTGATATGCTTTGTTGGTGAAACAGTGATTTTTGGCGTGAAAAGCCGCAGTGATAATAAATTGTGAGCGGTTAAACAAGATGCAAAAAGGTGTAACCATAATAATGATTTGTTGATGCAACTGTTGATGTTGATGTTTGCACAGTCAACATGAAAACTATATGAGAAGCTGAAAGACTCATAAAGCCTATAGGAGTTGGTATTATAGAGAGGAAGAGGAGTCAAGATTAAGCAGCGCATGTAACCACAACACACAACAAAAGAAGTAATTTATCGCTTCGTTGATGAACTTCACTTCTACTGTTACTTGTTGAATTAACGAATCATAAAATTATAATTAGCAGCAAAAATAGGAAAATAAAACAAAATGGGTTCAGTGATTTGCTTTAGTTTTGGACACTTTTTTTGACGCTACCTCAACTCGTGTCAATTGAATACAATTGGTTGAGCCATGTCAACACCTTTTTATGTTTGCATTTGTGGCTTCAATTACAAAGGATTTAGTCTTTTTGTGTTCATCAAACCGTCAATCGATTAACTCATCCATGTAATTGATAGACTTTCGTGTTTCATTATTCATGTTAAATACAGAGTAAATGGATCTTTTGTCAGTAATAAAAAACATTGTACTGTCATTTCACTTGTTTTTTCACACTTTGGTCAGTGCATTTGAAAATGAAAATCAAAGTTCGCCATATTTTGGGTCAATTAGTGACACATCAAGTTTATAGCTTTAAACAATTTAAATTGTGATAATTGAATGAAATGATAAACAATGAACCATCGAAACCCGATCATTAGTTCAACTTTACTTCAATTTGCACATCATTAGTTGTTATCTCGACTGTTATCAACTCTACCAGTTTTAATAAGTTCATTTGTGCTAATGTTAAATAGAATCGGGCAAAACTTGTTCAACTCAAAGTCATGGGTTGAAAAAGATCATGTTCAATGTTTCATCATCTTTTACTTGACTTTTTAACCGATGATCAAATTTTTGCAATTTTCTCATCCTATTGAACATTTTCGCTGGTGATAATGGATACTAATATGGTCCACTAATGGATAACTTTGTAATTTTCATTGGTAAAGCCCAGAATTGACAATAAACAAAAGTCAAAGTCCAAAAAAAACAAATGAATTTACTTGTTTTTGTCGAATTGGAAAGAACTTGTTCGGTTCAAAGAAAATGCACCGTTCAGAAAAGTTTAGGTGAAAATGCGAAAGAAGATGAACATTTGCATGATTTAACAATGTTGGGTAAGATTTCCCTGATTTTAAGGCTTTGATCTTAAAGACACTAAAATTGATCTTAATTTCGCAAGTAAATCGATTTTCTCGATTTTTCACTTTGAACCTTTTCTGTCGATGTGAACCTTCTTTTTGAGACAATATGATAATTGATTGTAAATTGAAATGTTGCCAGTTAATAGATAGTCTTACCTTGTTGTGAGTCATTCGATGGTAATAAAGGTTTGAGCTTGCAGTAAAACGTTTACCGCAAACGTTACATTGATGAGGTTTTTCACCTGAATGGATTCGCCGATGAGTATTTAAAGATGATGAAGTGCTGAAACCTTTTCCACACACATCACAAACATGAGGTTTTTCACCTGTAAAATGAGAGAGAAAAAGCAAGAATGAAAACATTGATTGAAACCAAATGATGGGTCATTTTGAATTTACCTGTATGAGTACGAAGATGACGACGAAGTAAAGAGGGACGATCAAATGCTTTACCACAATATTCACAGGGTAACATTGTTCGTTCACGAGGTTTTTTGATTAAATTATTTGCTACCGGAGCATTAATGTTAATCATTTTCTTGTCATTATTTGTATCAACAGTTAATTTGGTGTTTCCATTTGGTAAGTTTAATATTGTTAACGGTGTCGTCGTTTTCGTCAGAGTTGGTGTTGTTGATGGACTTGAACTTGACGTAAGTTTAACCTGAGGTTGAGTTGAAGGTGATGAGGTTGGTGTTGGTGTTTTGGTCAATGGTGAAGCATACAATTTATCATCATTGGTGTTGTTGCCCTTTGATGAATCCTTTTTAACTGACAATCCGTTTAATGGTTTACTTGAACATTGTTTAACATTTTTCAAATTGACTTGATGATGGTCATTGAAGTGGTTTACTTTCAATGGTTGAATCGGTGATGATGGAGATCGCAGTGAGCCTATTGAAGATGAACGTGAAAGCAGGGAAGATGAAGGTGAAGTTGATATTGTTTTGGATGATAAATCCAACGATAATAAATTCCAATCTTGATTGGCTGCTTTAGAGGCTAACGATGAGGCTAGAGTTGTTGACAAGAATTCAGCTTCTTTCAAACCCAATTGAAAGGATAACGGTATCGTTGGTAATAGAGTTGATGATGATGATAAATTAGATGACAATGAACTAGATGAGGATGAGGATGAGGAAGAAGATGATGTAGAAGAGGAAGAAGAAGAAGTTTTATCTGTTTTAATCAGAGGCGATGATAAGTCCAGTGGAGCTTCAAAATCGTTCAACAAAGAAGCCAAAGGTAACCTTGTTGAGGGAATTATAAACGGATAAGGATAAAGTTGAAACATTATTGGTCAATTGTTTGCTCTGTTTTGTTAATCACTTAATTGTTGGGTTAAATTGTGGTTAAAATTCATTCGCAACGAAACAACAACAAAAAACAAAAAAAACAAAAGTTGAATAAATAAACAGTAAGGTAAGCGAGTCCAGTAAGAAACACAAATGCACAAAAAAACACGTTAACTTTAATGATTAGAAGTCAACTTGAAAACTAAAGCTAAAAGTTGTTGTTGATGAGAAACGTTGAGCTCAAAACGTTATCTAGTTTTAGGGTTGGACTTAACCTGCCTTTAGCTCCTTGAGTAGCTCCTTTAGTCCATCATCATTATCATCTTTACTCTCTTTCTCTCTCTTCTCTTCTTATCTCTTGCTTACTCTCCTTCGCCCTCCCACTCTCTTTCCCTCTCTTTTTCTTCTCTTTCTTTCTCTCTTATCTTCTTCTTTCTTGAAATGGACCCGCTAAAAACTCGACATAAAATGTTTATAATAAAAACTCAGGCCATTGAATGGTGAAGAGTTAATGGTAAAGTTGAAACAAAAGGTCCTCTAAATGTGTGCAGCTGATAAAGTTGTTGACGGCAAAAGTCCGAGTGTTTACCGTAAACTTTGGGAAAAGTCGCTATTTTTGGATTGAAAAAGGTTTTGAATGTTGTTCATTTGAAAAATTGGTTAGTTTGTTGGCGATTAAGATGAGGTTGAAGGTAAAACAATTATCATTTTAGGTTAGACCCAATGGACTTAGATCAGATCCACTCAAAAATCAATCAGTCCATGAGAAGGCCATTTCAGTCAACATAAGCGGTCTTTCATCTTGATGATGTTGATTCATTTCATTGATCCCAATTTTGTTGTTGAACTGGTGATTTTTTCAAGTAAGCCCACGAGATGTTCGCCATGAAACTTGCATCTTGACCATGGAAGAAACATTTTCATTTTCTTGACCAAATCAATTCCACTTGATTCCACATCAACTATCACTAATCTTGATTTTAGTCCAAAGACAGGTTGCTGGGAAAAAAGAAGCGAAATCGGAGAAATCTCCATTCTTTGACTCTTTCTTTTTGTAAATTGTGCTTGGTTTTGATCCTGTGAATGAATCAATTACAAACTGGACTTTTTCAACGAATTTAACCTCAAACGTAATTCAGATTTTAACCTGAGACAACATAGAGAAAAAATTGCATAATTTCACCGCATATTTGAGAATAAGACAGAGATAAACACAATACCCATTTGTGGTGAACTCTGGCCTCCTCATGGTCGCTCTTCTTATACACTGACTCTTATCTTGATCCAATGGGCTTGTCCCTTGTTAACCATGATCCTTTGCCATTACAAGGTTGACTCCTTTCTTCGTCATCATATGGAGACCCGGGTCCGTCTCATGTGTTTCAATGATATGGATTCAAAACAAAAGGGTAACCTTTTTTACTCCAAACTGGTTTCAACTATTTTGACCAAACGCGATATCAGGGATAAATTGAAACGAAACACAAAGGTGACTCGAGCCTTGTTCAAAAATACAGTCATCTTTGGGTTAATCTGGTTACCACTTAATCTGACAAATTTATATTTTGATTTCCTTCCCGATGACAATAGTTACCATTTGTCAACCACAACAATCTATTTAATACAAGCAATTAGTCAAACGATTACTGTTCTCTCGCCAATAAGCAATGCTTACCTTTACTTTTGGTCCAATACCAATATAAGGAAGCAAGTTAAAAAATATTATTTATTTGATCATTTTACCGGAATCAAGGCGTGATTATCCTTTTCAGCTAAATAACAATCAAAGACTTTTTAGAATCAAAATCCGAATCGAAAAAATGTTAAAACTTTACTAAAAGTTTCTCATTAGATTAAGCTCGAACGTTGCTCAAAAGTTTTTTCAGTTTTTTCTTCATCAATGTTACATTTACCCAAAACTTATTGTTTGCCAAAATTTGTATAGATATTAAACGAACATTATCCTCAATAATTGGCATGAACATTCCAACATCCCAGTCACTGAGAGCAACTGTGTCAGAGAAACGGACAGTTAAAGTAAGTTTGACCAAAGCGAAACATGTAATGATCTCTTGAAAATGGCGAGTAAAAGTACATGAAAAAGTACATGTATTACATGAAAATTGAGACGAGTTTCAAATTTCATCATTGATGTAATATTACAGACTCTTTTCATGATCCAGACAAAACCAATCAATTAAATGATCGATAGAAAATTTTTGGTCATGTTTTAACCATAATATTGTTCCATTTACCTGTAACAACAACATAACGTTTAGATTTTTGTAGAGAAACAAAAAATATGCGAAAAAACGGTAAAAAATGTTGCTCTAATGATAATTGTTGGGTTGATGATGAAACGATTTATTACAACAAAATTCATGTTCAACACATATAGACACAAGAAAGACACGAGAAATCAATCATTCCATACCAATCAGACTATACCAGTTGAAATGAAGATAATGATGAATAGAGCGAATAAAAGTAAAGCAGCAAAAAAAAGAAACCAAAATATGTGGATTCACATGTGTGAGTGTATAAAGGTAAATGCTATAAATATTACATTATACTCTTAACGTTATCGTTGATAGCCTCAGGTAAATTCGTGTGTCTCGAGTTTCTCATTGCAAGTCCTGCATTTGATTTAATTGTTATGCTACCGACACGACTTTTTCAACGCTTATCCTCATTTAAATCCCAAGACTACTTTAATTTTATTATGATTACTACTATCATCACCATCACCACTACCATCATCAACATCAACAACATCAACATAATCATAATATAATCATTATCAATCTCATCATCAGAATCAGAAGATGAATAAAATAAAAGGTGAGCGTTATCCTTTTTCGTTATCTATCAATTCATCTCTACCAAATTACATATTGGCGTTATTTTCAGCTTCACCAGCCATCATTAACATTGAGAAACAGTGAAACAAAAAGCTCAACATTCATTTATTGAATTACGATACTTTTCAGTGTTTATCATTTTTTTCATTTTCTGTTCATCTCTTTTTTTTGCTCATAATTATTTTCCATCTTAATTCAATTCTGACCAAAACTAGTTATTATCATCAATTATCTCTAATTTGTTTCAAAACTCAACAAATTATCACTCATAATCGATTGTTTTTCGTGATTTACAAGCAGAAGTTTACTTTTCTTTTGGCTCATCTTTACATGAAACTTTTTTTATAACTTAACAGATTATCAATCAACAAGATTCGCATTTCATATTCATGTGAACAGCAACAAGGTTCAACATAAAACAACTGAATTTTCTTATGTGCTACTTGTTTATACATTTATACCTGTCATCATTATCATTAAAAATAGCATAATGAATTAGCTTCATGCTTCAACAATTCAAATGTTCACTTGAAACGGTAAAGGTGAACCAAAGTTTAGCTTTTGATTAACTGATAAAATTAGCTAATTCGTCATTTTCCATTGGAAACTCATGAATTGGGATCCCGAATAAAATGCAAATTCAGATCTAATGAGCGATATATTTGATGAGTTGAGTTAGAACCTGATCGGTCATTTGCCTCATTGGGAGTTTTGATACTTAATGCTCGAGACTGCTTCGGACTCAAGTTTGATCTTCTCACGACATTGATGCAAAAGTCTAACAATTTTGCAGCAATTAACAAGATAACTTTAGACTTGAGAATCTTGTGGTTGAATTCAATTGAGCTTACAAATGAGAGTTGTGAGTGAAATGATAAATCAATATTTTTCACCATCATTGGGTTCAATTTGTATCTCACTGATTTCTTGACACATGAAGACTAATGATATCATAAAAATGCAAAATAATTCAATGGCGCTTATTGGACTAATTGAACTTTTCATTATTATTCTGGAATAGCAAATTGTATCATGTACTTAACCTAATGAATGACAAGTGCAATATCTGTAAGCATTTGTCAAGTTCATTAATTTCATTAGCCTTTGCATGGCTGATGTAAAAAGTGATCGTCAAGACTTTAACAAGTTTTATTGCTTATTAAAATGACATTTATTTGACCAAAGATTTAAAAGTTATTATGTAATTGAAATTAATCGGGACGATTTCAACCTTTTTTTAACTTTTCCTTTCCATTTTATCCAAATTCAAGTCTTTTTCATAATTCATTTGAATTTTTTATTGCTTTCATCATTTAGTAATATAATTATATTCAACAATTTTAAAAATCTCCATTCATTGGAACATCTTTCTTATGTTCCGATCATTACTTTTCACGGCTTTTTTTAATTGAATGTTGACTATTTTATTGCACTGACATTTTTCATTTAATCAAGTTTAAATTTATACCATTTAATCACATTTTTTATTACTTTGAATCAGAATATATTTGACTCTTCAGATGAAGGTGCGCCTAAATTGATTAATCTAATGAAAGGATTAAAGTCTTTTTCCAATTAATAATATCGATCAGTATTTTCAATTCGTGCAACAAAAATTATATTTCACTATTAATAACGTATTATCAGCACAATTGACAAAAAATAAGGTTCAATATCTAATGCCATCATTGGCTCATGTGTGATTACCAGAACAAGCGTATCAATGCAATGTATCTTGAGTTCCTTGGTTATTCATTATTTCAATTTTGATGCAATTGCAAGATTCATTATTAAAGTTTTCAATTCATTAACAAGTTGTAAGTTTTAAACTCAATCATTGAGTGAAATGACGTTGGTAGCACCATCTAACGATTAAACTGAATACTAATCAAGGATAACGAAGTTACCATTGTAATAACTTGCACCATCTTTTGGTTCATTTTGTTACTGATATACAGTAATTGGTCTCTGGGTTAACCGAAGTTTTTCAAAGTGCGATTGAATAGGAGTGGAGCTACAGTATTAGTATTTATCAGTTTTTGTGGCACAAATGATTTACTAAACCAGAATTTATTTCATCGCTTAAATTTCTAGAAACAAAAACAATCCATAATCGAAACTCAATCCTATCTCACGCTCATAATAAATTGATCAACTCTTTGAGCACTGAGCAAGAGGTTCAATTAAGATTTTTTTAGACAATTTATGAAATCTATTATGGAAGCAGACTCTGATACTTTTTTATAAATAAAAATTATCGCGTTAAACGCAATAAAATGCAAAGAGGAAATAATTTTGCTTGTTAACTTAATACGCTCTCAAATGTTAGTTTGTATGACTTTGGTTGAGCAACTTTCCAACTGAAGAAATGTCAAGCGACTTAAAAAATAAGAAAAGTAGCTCAATTCTCGGCTAAAGACCAATACATGCGACTTATTGAATGATAACTTCACTTTATTCATTTACAGTTGTATCTCTAATACAGAAAAATGCAATAAATTAATTTAAAATTGGAAGGTAATGAAATTGGTCAATAAGGCACTGAATCCTACCCTATCCCACATCGTTCGGATGCAACGGGTAGGTTTGACAACCGCCCAACAGTTAATGGCTTAAGACTTTAACGCTCGTTTCAGCGGCAGCCGCTTAACGCGAACAGCCCTAGGACCCTGTCAGACGCTGTCAGACCTTTATGACTCCACACTACCTCACTTAATGAATAAGGTTTCAACTCGACTAATAATAATGATATAACAAGGGGCTAATATTTTATCAGTTTTTTTCGTTTTTTCTTTAATACAGATCATTCGATTCAACAAGATCATTCCAATCATATTATTCAATAGATGTCAAAATTTAAATTCTTTTTTCCTGTTTATTTACTTAATTTGATCATAAATTATAAAAGTGGCTACAGGATTTTAATTATTTAATGTGCGAAGTTTCAACCAATATACAGCAATCTCTCTCAATATGCAACTCTTGCGTGTAATTGTCTACATTCAAGGCAAATTTTTTAGACGCTATTTCGTTCGCTTTTCCCATGTTTAATCCTTTCATGAATTTCTTTCTAATTATGTTTGTTTTAATGTTTAATTTGAGATCTTACATATAATTCAACATGAAAAGATCAATCAAATTATCTTATTCAATCAATTCTTTTTTTCTGTTCATTTGCTTGATTAGTCATAATTAATAGCTGTGTTTACAAAGAATAATTTTTTTTAGTCCGAGGGGGCCGGCTTTTTTCCACCACATCCACTACTTTATCCACCAATTTTTCAAACAATTTTTAAAAGATTATCTACCACCCAGATCCACCAAATTGTTGACCACTTTTGGGGTATGATAATGATTAATAGTGGATGCGCTAAATGGTGTAAAAGTGGTCAACAATTTGGTGGATTTGGGTGGTGGATAATCTTATAAAAAATTGTTTGAAAAAGTGGTGGACAGTTTGGTGGACAATTTTGTTGAGAAAAGTCTCTTTAAAAAACTGATGATATTTGGTTTAGTGGACGTGTTGCATTGGGTGATGGACAATATGGTGGACAATGCGGGGTAAAGACGGTAAAAAAGTGGTGGAAAAAAGCCGGTCCCGTCCGAGGGTTTGATCAATATCCAGACCCATTCAACTGAAGAGCAAATTAGCTTTACAAATCAAGTCAACATTGAATGTGACACAAAAAGAGAATAAAGCGAATCAATAAAAATTGATAAAAAAGTTGTGAAATTCATCTCCATGGTGTGAATGGTTCAGTAGATATTGAAATTCAATCACCGCACCTGCACATGGATAGTGAAGAAGTTTCAATCTGTTTCAATCTTTAAGCGGAAGAAATCAAATTGTAAACATCAGCAAAATAGCTGAATGTTAATACAAGTCAACGCGTTTTCATTTTCAGATATTCTTCAAATTAGTCGAAATTATTTACATTACAAGATATTGAACGCATTTTTATTTGGTTAAACAGGATTATCTCAAAGTTTTCAATACTTTATTTTGAAATAGCATAGAGCACGATGCAAAAATATGATTCATGAATGGTAAGATTAACATACAACATTTAATGCAAATTCAATTTTACTTAACTTGCTTTTTTAAATACAACTATTAAATAAACTGAACTGGAATATAAGTTGAAGTCAAAGTCATCATTTTATATTCAGAAAAAATCTGACCCATCAATGTCCACGCCTTATTGCGAGTATCGAACATCAATATTTTCTTTTGAGATTTTATTAAAAGTATCACATTCGACTTGTGCGAATCAAGCTGCAAATCTTCAAAAGTTAAATTCATGCCGTCAAATGGCTTAGACTTCTCTGTGGTTTTCTTGACCATATCGAAGACACAGAACGTCAATGACTTTGTTATGTTGTAACAAACATCCTTTAGAATGATTGCATGTACGCGATGATCGGCGAATGAGTTATTGTACCAATCAACATGTTCACCAGGCCAACCTTGGATATAGGGCCTGAGGTAACTGGAAAAAGAAAGAACATAATATATTTAAAAATATGAATGAATGAAATAGTAAATGAAATTAATGAAACTCACCCTTCTATATCAAATTTTGGCTTAAAAAAATCGTCAAGTTTATTATAATAAGTGTGCAGAGATTCAAACATCTTTAGCCAACGATACTTTTGCGAAACAAGATCAATCCTTAGCCCAGTTCGGCCACAATCAAAGATAACGTCAACGACATGTTCTTCGCTGATGACCGCAATAGGAATCTGATCATCTTCTTCGAATGAGCCACAAGGTTCCCAACAATTGTCACCGGTGTAATAACTCATACCAATGATATTATCTTCTAAGAAATACAGAGAAATTAAATATTTCTCTTTGATTCGGTCATTCAAACATGAATTTCGACATTCACCGGATTCACATGCTAATTCATCAAGTTGAGGAAGGTTTTTGACGATGAAATCATTTTCTTTTATCTGCAAATAGCAGTCTTTAGAGGTATAACACCATCGTATACATTGCATCAACTCCTCTAGATGAACACCACGCGATTGATCATGATTAATCCATTTCATGATGGCTTGAAACACTTGATATTCAGTTTCAACACATAAATCCAAAGATAAAATGTAATTAACAACTTCCAGCGGGAATTCCAAAAAATATTCACCGTTTATGAGTCGCGAAAAATTTCTACTCAAAAAAGAATTGATCTTGTTAAAGTTCAAGTTCAGAAATGAGTTATCATCTCTTACATGCTGAATCAAAGCAGGGATTTGTTTAGCTGTAAAATTTTCATAAAAAAATGATTGACACGCACTTTTTATAAATTCAATCTGCAGATGATCAGCAACTTCACACATCGGTAAAACGCTGTCCATAGCGAGCAACAAGCAACCATGATCCAAATAATTCATCAATGATTCGAAAATAGATTCGTCTATCTGCATCATAATGCAAACAAATTTAAAGGTAGAGAGCAAGATTGATAAAAACAACTTACTTAAATTAAAGTTGAACTGGATTCGAAAAGAAAAAAATTGAAAGAAACAGTTGAGACAAAGTCACAGGTTAAAATGATGAATTTGAAAAGCTAACAGTTAAACTGTTAAAAAAACACAGACGATCACAAGTAAAGACATGCGTGTTCGCTTTTAGTCAAGTTTGGAGTTTTATTCAAGTAAATCTCAACTTGTAACATGAATTTGCACCTAGATACATAACCTGTGGGGAAAAAGTTATGGACATTTTGTTCAAATGATTGTAATCAGTTTATTTTTTGAGTAATTTAATTTTTTTGATATGAAATTGAAGCTCAGGATCTGATAAATAGATCGAATATATTCGATACCACCATTATATGCTTTATCAACATGAAATTTGTGATTTTTCATGAGCCTGTGAAAATGTTGAGAATCAAATTTTTTTAGTTAGAGTTTTATTCTGTCGATTAATTCAGCGTGCTTTTTGGCCTCAAATCCATCCGAGCAAACATAAGCCTCGAGGGGAGATCATGAGCTTTCGAATGAACTAAGCTAAGGAACATTGCAAAGATTATTAGACTCAGGGATTAATGAAAATCCTGAGGCGTCGAAAACTACCTGAGGTTGGACGCATAAATAGCGGAGAAAAGATCAGGCCAAGTTAAACTTTAAATGGTGATAAATGAAGAATTATTAGCGCAAAATTTTTGAAATTTTTGTATCAAATTCTTCAATGACTAGATGAAATTCTGTGAAAATTCTAATCCTTTAGCTTAACCCAGTTCTGAGAAAACTTCAGATTACTAGAGTAGTAATTTGTCCATAACTTTCTCCCCACAGGTTACTTGTAGTTCGCGACTCTGCGGACATAACCCCATACAGAATAAATAATTTTTCATTTTAACTTTATGACTACACGCTCTCTCTAGTTTGTATACCCACAAGACTTTGGCTGACTGGGCAACTTTCGAACTAAAGAAATGTCAAGCGATTAAAAAATGCGAAAGTAACTCAATTTCCTGCTAAAGGCCAATATAATGAATATATTGATAATAACTTCACTTCATTAATCTACAGTTGTAGCCTCAAAACAGAAAAATGTAATAAATTAATTCAATAAAAAATTGAGAGGTAATGAAATTGGTCAGTAAGGTGCGGATTCCAGCTCTCTTCCACCGTCTGGTGAAACAGGCTGGTTCGACAACAGTCCCACAGTTAATGGCCTAAGACTTTGACGTTAGTAGAAAGAGAATCTCTTTCTCTATTCGAAAGACCAAGGGTCTTTCGTTTCTAACAGTCTTAGGACCCTGTCAGACGCTGTCATACCTTTATGACTCCACACTACCTCACTAATATTGGTTTTCAACTCGACTAATAATAATGCTATAACAAGGTACTAATATTATATCAGTTTTTCCGTTTTCTTTCCTCAATACAGATCATTCGATTCAACAAGATCATTCCAATCATATTATTCAATGAATGTCAAAATTTAAATTCTTATTTTCTGTTCATTTACTTAATTTAATCATAATTAATAACTGTGTTTCCAATGTCGTAATTATTTAATGTCCGAAGGTTCAACCAATATTCAGATCCTTTCAACTGAAAAACAAATCGGCCTTACAAATCAACTCCACTTTGCATGTGACACAAAAAGAGCAAATACAAGATTAGATCATGAAATTATTGTGAAATTCATCTCCATGGTGTGGATGGGTCCATAAATTTTGAAAGTCAATAGTTTTAACATGACATTGATATTAAAAGGATTTCAATTCTAAACTAAAGAAGTTAAAATTGAATAAAAGGTCGGAAAAATAGCGAGATTCTTGATTCAAGGCAACGGGTTGTAACTTAACAGATATTCTGCAATTTGGTCGAAATTTATTCACATTATCAAGAAAAAAGCAATTTATTAAAACAATTTAAAAAACTATTTCGGTTAAATATCGATTATCTCAAAGTTTTCAATACATTATTGTATTTTGAAAGGGTTTACAGTTTGATACAAAATCATGATTGAATGGTGATAATAATACATGTAATGATAGATTCAATTTTACTTTACTCTGTTTTTTGAATACAACTTTTTAATTAACTGAAACGAAATATCAGTTGAAGTTATTGCAATCATTTTATTATCAGAATGTATCTGTCCCATAAAGCTCCAAGTCTTTTTGCAAGTGTCGAAAATCATAATCTTTTGTTGCGATCTTATCAACAGTAACACATTTGACTTATGTTGATCCATTTGCAAGTCTTCAAATTTTAAGTTCATTCCTTCAAAGGGCTTAGTTTTCTCTATGGTTTTCTTTACCATGTCGAAGACACGGAACGTCAATGACTTAGTAATTATGTAACATACATCTTTTAAAATGCATGCATGGATTCGATGTCCATCGAATGGGTTATTGTACCAATGAACATGTTCAACGGGAAGGAAACAGAATAATTTTGTATCCTTTTGAGGGTAACAGATGATATTCATTTCTCCGTTGTATTCAATAAGTGTGTTTTTTTCCAGATCACACCATTTTTCAATTTTTTTAACTCCATCTTGAATGTAGGCTCTGTAGGAACTGGAACGGAAAAGAACATAATACATAAATTTGAAATTATAATAGATTGACAATAAAAGTTGAAATTAATAAAACTCACCTCTCTCTGTCAAATTTTGGTCTAAAACAATCGTAGAGTTGATTGTAATAAGCACGCGGAGACCCAGACATTTCTAGCCAACGATATTGCTTTTTAACAAAATCAAATCGCAGCCCAGCTCGTCCAGAATCAAAGATGACATCCACCACATGCTCCTTGTCGATAATTCCAGTAGGAATTTTAAAGTTGGCTTCGAATGAACCACAAGGTTCCCAACAATTTTCACCGGTGTAGTAACTAATCCCAATGAAATCAGTTTTTATAAAATATAGAGAAATTAAATGTTTCTCTTTGATTCGGCTATTCAAACATAAATTACGACATACGTCAGGTTGACATGTAAGTTCATCAATTAACGGAAGATTTTTGACGATGAATTCGTCTTCTTTTATGTTCAAATCGTCTCCAAAAGTATAGCACCATCTGATACATTTCATCAGATCTGGTAGGTGGACAACACGCGATTGATCATGTTTGATCCATTTAAGGATGGCTTGAAACACTTGATATTCATTTTCAATGGATAAATCCAATGATAGGATGTATTTAACTACTTCCAACGGAAATTCTAAGAAATATTCCCCATGCATAATCCTGAGAAAATTTCTGCTCAAAAAAGAATTGAGCATGTTGAAGTTAAGCAACGAAGAATCATCTTTCACATGTTTAATTAACGTAGGGATTTGTTTGGCGGTAAAATTTTCGGCTAAAAATGATTGACACACAGTTTTGATCGATCCAATCCTCAGATGGTCAGAAACTTCATACATTGGCAAAACGTTTTCCATATTGATTACAATCCAACCGGAATACACCCAATTAATTACTGGTTCGAAACAATATTCATTTAGATCAAATTGAAATTTCCTCACAACTTGAGAAGAACACAATTCATTAAAAAATGGAATTTTTTCACAAATCAATGATTTAGAAACTGAATATCTTGATGAACGATTAATCAACTCGATTTCATCTTCACTTTTAATCTGCAACATAATGCAAACAACAACAGATTGAAAAGGTATAGATCAAGAAAAAGGATTTAAAACAACTTATAGTAAAGTTGAACTTGATTTGAATAAAAACAAAATTTGACTGACAAAGGCACAGTTAAAATGGTGAATTTGAAAAGCCAACACTTTTTCAGACGATCACAAATGCATCACACATGCGTGTTCCACCCAATAAATTTTTTGTTTTTGTTTATCTTGTTGATTAATCACCGCAAAAGATTCTTTTAACCGTTTATTGTGCAAACGGTTTTTAGTTGAATATCTTTTGGATCAAGATAAAAAAGTGTGAAATATCAACAATAAATATTAGTTGAACCTTTTACTGTTTCCAATTTCATTTCTTTAGTTGACTTACAAATATTTTTAACCGTTAATTGGATAAGATTTCATGCTTTTACATGAAATGCGAGTGTCCAACACAATAATGATTTTTCTTTAGTCTCGAGTTACAAATGACCATTTGTATTAATAATAATTTGTATTGTAATATCAATTGTAATAATTCAATTGATTCTATGAATTAAGACAATTGTCTTACCCTTTTTTGTCTCAAAGTTGGTGTAATTAGCTCAAGAATAGGCTTTCAACTTGGACCTTAAACATTTTTTGTTTTGCAGATTAGGATCAAACCGTTCAACAGAATCAACAATCAAATTTCCAACTAAACACTGATTTACCAAATGATGATTGACTCAATTGACTTTGCATTGAGATGTACTGTGTGAGTCAAAAGTCAGTTTAAACTTTAAATCGATATAACTTTCGAACAGCTCTAGATAGGAACATAATTTTTTCAGCGTTATGCATAATTTCGAGGCGGATTACATATTCTTGAATAAAAAAATTTTGACCTGGAGATCGACTATTCACCCTTGAAAGTGCGGCTTCACAGGGCCAGAATTACGATAATTTGCTGAAAATTTTTTTATTCAAGAATATGTAATCCGCCTCGAAATTATGCATAACGCTGAAAAAATTATGTTCCTATCTAGAGCTGTTCGAAAGTTATATCGATTTAAAGTTTAAACTGACTTTTGACTCACACAGTACATGGCTTGGAGACAGTTTCTCAGATTCGTGATTAACCCTTTTTGTTTTGTTTATCAATTCGAGCCTTAGCTCTATGTTCATAATTTCCCCACTGCAAACTTTCTCCACACCCTGTAACGAATTTAATATTGTCAATGACTCTGTTGGCGTACTTTCTTTTTCGTTATTATTTAATTGTTTCCCATTGGCGTTGAATTTTAAAATCGTTTTGAGCAGCGATACAATTGATACAATACATTGAGATACAAATACTTGAAACTGAATATTTATTACTTGGAACACATGGCACATTAAGATTTATCTTTGCCCAAACTTTACAATACTGTAATTATTAATAATACGATTCTTAGGTTTCGCTTAAAATCCTTCATAGTAACTTTAAATTATTCTGTACATTATGGATTCTATTTTTAATATGCTTTCAATTTTTGTCAAAGTATTCATGAACAAATGAATTGGCGATCAAGCAAAGATTCTCATTCAATGTAAGACCTCTTCGTGGATTCCACGTGGTCCATTCAATCTACTAGTTGAAGAGACTATCTCTCTTATAAAGACTTATAAAGAAACATCAATTCGATGTAAAAGGAATTCTTTTAAAGAATCTCGAAAAACATTGTGCCTTTCATCTCAATGGTGTCAATGGTTTCATAGATTTTGAAATGAAATTATCTTATTACTGCATTGTTATGGAGCGGACTACAACTTCCAAACTAAAGAAATATCAAGCGACGCAAAAAATGAGAAAATTAGCTCAATTCTCGACTACAGGCAAACTTATTATTGATATTAATAACTTCATTTTACTAATTTACAGTTGTATTCTCAATACATCAAAATGTTGGGAGTTGATTCGATAAAAAATTGAGAGGTAATGAAATTGGTCAATGAGGCGTCGATGCCACGGGTGGGTTAAACAACCGTCCAACAGTCAATGATCTAGGAGTTTAACGTTAGTGGAAAGAAACCTCTTCCTCAACTAACACCTAGACCCTGTCAGACCTTTTTGACTACACACTACCTCACTTAATGGTCAAGGTCTCAACATACCTAATAATAATGATATAATAAGGTACTGACGCTATATCAGTTTTTTTCATTTTATTCATTACTACAAATAATTCAGCACGAAAAGACCATTCAAATTATCTTATTCAACAAATGTCAAAATTGAGATTCTTTTTTTCTGTTCATTTGCTTCATTAGTCATAATTAATAACTGTGGCTACAGAGTTGTTATTATTTAATGTCTGAAGATTCAACCAATAAGCAGATCTTTTCAACTGAAAAACAAAGCTTTAAAATCAAGTCCACTTTGTACATGACTAAAAGGCGCGTCTAGCAAATTAGATCATGAAAACACAGTGAAATTCATCTTCATGGTGTGAATGGTGCCGTAGATTTTGAAAGTCAATCGTTTTGACATCATATTGATATTAAAGAGATTTCAATTCTAAACTGAAGAAGTTACAATTTAATAAAAGAGCAGAAAAATAGCAAGATTCTTGATTCAAGGCAACGGGTTTAATTTTTCCAAGATATTCTGCAATTAAATCTAATCTTACATGACATTTTTCGCAATAATCACATTGAAATCCATTTAAAAATTTTATTAAGTTAATGAATTACAAATATCTCAAAAATTTCAATATACCATGTTGAAATGGTATTGAGTTGAATACAAAAATCTCATTCATTAATGGTGATAACATAATTGTAAAAAATAATCTTACTTTACGCTCTTTTTTGTATACAACTTTTTAATAAACTGAGCTGGAATATAAGTTGTTGTCAAAGTTATCATTTCACAACCAGAATATATTTGACCCATTAATGTCCACCCCTTCTTGCGAGTATCGAACATCATTATTTTCTTTTGAGATTTTATCAAGAGTATCACATTCGACTCATGCGAATCAAGCTGCAAATCTTCAAAAGTTAAATTCATGCCGTCAAAAGGTTTACTCTTCTCGATAGTTTTCCTAACCATATCGAAGATACGGAAAGTCAATGATTTAGTAATGATGTAACATACACCATTTAAGATGTATGCATGGATTCGATGTTCAGCAAATGGTTTAATAAACCAATCTATGTTTTCATCAGGCAAGAAACAGAATAATTTTTGATCCTTTTGTGTATAACCAATGATATTCATCTCACCGTTATACACAATCAATGTGTTCTTTTCAATATCAACCCAATCATCAATTTCCTCAACTTCATCTTGAATGCAGGCGCCGTAGGAACTGGAAAGGGAAAGAACGTAATAAAATAATTCAAAATTAGGTTCATAATACATGGTTCACATGTAATAATCGTAATAATACCTTTCTCTACCAAAATTTGGCTTGAAAAAATCGTAACATCTGTTGTAATGATCTAACCCAGACATCTTTAGCCAACGATATTTTTTTTCAACAAGATCAAATCTTATCCCAGTTCGGCCAGAATCAAAGATAACGTCAACAACATGTTCTTCGCTGATGACTCCAAAAGGAATTTGATCATCTTCTACGAATGAACCACAAGGTTCCCAATAATTTTCACCGGTGGAATAACTCATACCAATGATATTATCTTCCAAGAAATAAAGAGAGATTAAATGTTTCTCTTTGATTCGGCTATTCAAACATAAATTACGACATTCACCGGGTTCACATGCTAATTCATCAAGTTGTGGTAGATTTTGGACGATAAATTCATCTTCTTTTATATGCAAATAGCAGTCTTTAAAGGTATAACACCATCGTATGCATTTCATCAGCTCCTGTAGATGAACACCACGCGATTGATCGTGTTTGATCCATTTCATGATTGCTTGAAATACTTGAAATTCAGTTTCGATTGATAAATCCAACGATAGGATGTTTTTAACTACCTCCAACGGAAATTCCAAAAAATATTCACCGTTTATGAGTCTCAGATACAATTTCCAGTAATTTTGCGAAATTGTTGAGTCCATCATCTTATTTGTAATAAAAGCAGCGATTTGTTTGGCTGAATAATTAGCTTTGATAAATGAACTACAGTAACTTGTAATAGGCTTAATGCCCAAATGATCAGAAACTATGAACATCGATAAAAAGTTGCTTCCATGGATTACAATCCAATCAGAATACACCCAATTAATTAATGTTTCGAAACAAGGCTCGCTTAGATCGAACTGAATTTGCCTTTCAACTTGAGACGACCACAATTCATTAAAAAATGGAATTTTTGCACAAAACAAAGATTTAGAAACTGTATAACTTGATGAGCGATTAATCAACTCAATTTCATCTGCACTGTTGATCTGCATCATAATTTAAACAATAAATTGAAAAGTTAGAGATTGAGAAAGATGATGAAAACGACTTACTTATCCAAGTTGAACTTGGTTCGAACAGCAAAAAATTTTAAGTAACAGTTGAGACAAAATCGCAGTGTGAAATGGTGAATTTGAAAACTTAACAGTTTTATAAATCTTGAAATGTGGTTGTAATGTGCGCAATTGCGCATAGTTTATAATCACTGCTAATTGTTAAATTTTCAAATTTTTAACCGTTAACTGAGAAAACGGTTTTTAGTTGAATATCTTTTGGATCAAGATAACAATATTTGAAATATTAGTTGAACCTTTTGCTGTTTCCAATTTCATTTCTTTAGTTGACTTACAAATATTTTGAACCGCTAATTGGATAAGATTTCATGCCATTACATGAGATGTGAGTGTCCAAAACAATGATAATGATCTTTCTTTAGTCTCGAGTTACAAATGACCATTGTATATGTCTCTTTTTCGTCATTTGATTAGTTGTTAACTGGCTTATGAACTGAATGATCAAATTTTCAACTAAACACTGATTTACCAAATGGGGATTGACTCAATTGACTTTGATGCAAGACAAACATGACTTACAAGATGTTAAAGAATGATTATCACGATTCGTCAGATTCATTATTCACTCTTTCCACTCTATTGGCGCGGAATAATTCGAGTCACAGCTTTCTTTTGATCTCATTTCCCCTCACTAGAAACTTTCTCCACACCCGGTAACGAAGTTATTTAAATTTTATATTTTGTATTTATGTCTCAATAATTATGACTTGGAACACATGGCTCAGCAAGATTTAACTTCGCTCAAACTATATAATATCGCAACCTTTATTAATATAAAGTTGTATTCGCAATACAGAAAGATGAAATAATTTAATTCAATGAAAAATTGAGAGGCAATGAAATTAGCCAATGAGATTTCGATTCCTCCCCTTTTCCACACCGTCTTGTAGCATCGGTAAGGTTAAACAACCATCCAAGAGCTAATGCCATCTGACCTTTAAGCTCTCAAAGCTTTACTTGCTTTCGGACCGACCTGTGTCCTGTCAGACAACCATACATTGCACCTTTCTCACCTGTTTAATCAAAGCCGGGAATAGTTTTTCAGTAAAATTTCGCCAAAAATGATTAACACGAACTTTTGATTGATTCAATTTCCAAATGATCAGAAACTGCATGCATAGGTATAACATGGTTCATATAGATTACAACCCAATCGGAATAAACCCAATTTATTATCGATTCGAAACAAGATTCGTTCAGATCAAACTGAATTTCCTTTCAGCTCGAGAAGAACACAATTCATTAAAAAATGGAATTTTTGCACAAATTAAATATTTTGTCACTGTATAACTTGACTAACTTTGTTATATTAAAACATCATAAAGCACCGTTTTCAGGTCTTTAGGTTTCAATCACTATTAATGCAAGAATCTGCCATATTGAAAATTATAATATATTTAATGATAAAAACGTAAGAAGTATTTCAATTCCTCCTTGTATTGCAATTTAAATGTTACAATAGCTTCCAATTATTCTGCCGGTTAAGGATTCTAATTTCACAAAGTATTCTTCAACAAATGAATGAACAATTTACAAATCGATTAAATGTTTTACTAATTTATGTGAATAAAATTTGACTTATATCATTGTGGTAGCTTCTTAATACAAGCAATGAAACCAAATGCCGATGATGGCGATTCCCTGACCATATTTAACCGTTCAGTAGTTTATTGCGTCTCAAAGAAGCTGTTTTGTTCATCTATTCAGTATTTTGAGAAAATGTTTTGCTGTGATTTATTGGAATCAAGGGAAAACAAAGTAACTCTCGATTTAGATGAACACAGCTTTGAATTGATTGTAAACTGGGCTTACTCTGGTTGTGTTGAAATTAACATGAAAAATGTGATTCCTTTATATACCTGTGCTGACTATTTAATGATTGACACTCTAACAACTGAATGTAATATCTTTTTCTTTGCCAAATTTACTCTCATTGACCTTCCAATAATTTTAAATACTGCCACCGAAGTGACTAAATTAGTAAATCGCAACATGATCGACTCCTTCATCAGTCGTCATTTCCTAAAGATCGTCAAATCAAAGCCATTCTTAACATTTCCATTCGAAACAGTGAGACGAATACTGAAATTAAATTTATGGATAGATTCAGAGTTCCAAATATGTGAAGCCATCGTTAAATGGATTGATTATAATCCCGATGAAAGGAAACATCATTTTGTTGATTTAATTAAATTGATTCGATGGTGTTATGTTGACTTTGATGTTGCTTATCAAATCAAAGGCTATCGTAGATTCAACGAGTTGACACAATTTACTTCAATCATGTGTAAAATGGCAAATTGTTCAAATGGATGTTCATCAAATCGATCAATGCAAAGTAGTTTGATAAGCATTTTTGAGATTAGCAAAGATACAATTGAGATTCTCATTCATTGTAAAACTTCTTCATGGATTCCTTGTGGTCTATTCAGTCTAAATGAGACTATCTCTGATTATATCATTTGTGATGAACACTTTTCAGATGTTGTGTTTGATGCTGGTCGAAAAGGAGTACGAATTGATTGGGTTCATCGCAAGTTTCGCTGGTTAAACATGATTGGATCAGCTTTAGCCTATTATGGACAGATTTATTCAGTGATCATGTCGCATGTGGAAATTCCTGAGTAAGTCAAATGATTTATAGAGTAGGTTTGCCATGTTGCCATCATCTTGAGTTTTTTGGAACCGAACTTAAAATTTACTTTGTATCCAAACCTGTGTTGGCAAAGATTCATCAAAAGCACATTGAGTAAAATGTTAGTTTAATAATGAATATTATATTTTATTTTATCCTAAGAGCTAAAGTATTTTACTTGGATAATATTAACCAGGATTATTCATCTACAGATGAGGTATTTGGAGACTCATTTTTTGAATATGCAGGTTCATTTGTTACCGTTGGTTTTTCAAAGCTCAAGAAATTTTTCTGTATTTTCCCGATTGACCGCAAAAGCTGGTATTTCGGTGATTTCACTGAGAAAACTGCCATCACTGGAACAATAATTAAGAGAACAATTTACATCATTAGTGAAGATTTGGCATTTAGAATAATCGATCCAGTTAGTCGAAGCTGTTCTAAAACTGAACCATTCAAAGAATATCAGTTTTCTTTTGAAAATTTGCAATTAGCAAATCATGAATCTAATTTAATTCTTATTGATAAAGCATCCAAAGACCTACTTACTTATGATATTGGGAATAAAAAATGGACTTATTCAGGTAAGATGATAAATCCTAACCTCTTGATAGCAATCAGTTCAGTTAATCTGCCAACGAAACACATAAAGAAACTTTACATGAAAAAAGATTTAACACTAAAGGATTATCAATATTATTCGAATGACTCAGTGGCTGGAACTTCAAGAAAATCCAATAAATGGGATCAATGTCGAGCGCAATGACAACTCTAGTGACATTTGTCAACTAATCTTCGGTTCTATGTGACACTGAAGTAATCTGTTGGATGAATATTTGTTTGGATCAACAATTTGAAATAATATGATGATATGACACGAGATGAAAAAATTGTCCAAACAAGTAAGGTTGACTGGTGCTAAGCGAAAAGGAATGAGTGAATTTCGAATTGGGAGAGGACAATCTCGAACAACTTTCTACGGTGAACAACAATTTCCATCATGAATAACAGAAATATACACGTTTTCCAATTCTAACAGATCACTTCACTTTTTTGATTTGTTTACTAACCTTAAATCACATTACATTGTATTTTATATGTTTGTGTAGTGAATATTCAAAGTTTGAAATGAGATCATCTTATTACTGCATTGTTAGCAAATGGACTACAACTTTCCTCTAAAGAAATTTCAAGCGAGTTTGAAAATAAGAAAAGTAGCTCAATTTTCGGCTAAAGGCCAATATATTGAATATATTGATAATAACTTCACTTCATTAACCTACAGTTGTATCCCAATACAGAAAAATATAATAAATTAACTCAATAAAAAATTGAAGGTAATGGAATTTGTCAATTTGGTGTCGATTCCTCCCCATTTCCACAACCAGTGACCTCAGATTGGTGTGGAAAGTGGCATAGGGAAGGTTGAACAACCGTCAAGGAGTCAGTCACAGGGGACCTTGAAGCCCGTTAGAGATAACGAAACCCTCATAGATCTTAATTGACTGCTCACTACCTTCAAATAGAGTTAGTCTTCAACTTGACTGATAATAATGATATAATAAGGTACTAATATTATATCAGTTTTTTTCATTTTATTCATCATTACAGATAATTCAACATGAAAAGACCATTCAAATTATCTTATTCAATAAATGTAAAAATTTAAATTCTTTTTTTCTGTTCATTTACTTAATTAGTCATAATTAATAGCTGTGTTTACAAAGAGTAATTATTTAAAATCCAAGGGTTGATCAATATTCAGATCCTTTTTACTGAAGGGCAAATTAGCTTTACAAATCAACTTCACTTTGCATGTGACACAAAAGGAGAATCTAGCAAACTAGATCATGAAAAAAAATTGTGAAATTCCTCTCCATGTTTTGAATGGTACCATAGATTTTGAAATTCAATCATCGCACCATAACATTTGATATTGAAGGGGTTTCAATCTTTAAGCGGAAGAAATCGTACTTGTATGCATCACAACATGAGAAAAATAGGGAAATTCTTGATGCAAGGCAACGAGTTCTCATTTTTTCAAATAATAAGCAATTTATTCAAAATTTATTTATATTTTCAAGCAAAAAATCATATTAAAACATTTATTAAATACATTAAAACTTAGAAAATTAAGGTAGTGGAAAGAAAAATTTAGACATAAATTGTTTTGCTGATTATTCAGCAACCAGATTACTTAAAGAATTTATTTTTGTGAATTTTAGTTAATTGAATACTCATAATACACCCCAAGTAGCTACTTTCGCTATTCAAATTCTATCTCATGAAAAAAATCGAAGAAAGTAATCTTTGTCAAACTTTTCATTTTTTGAAATTTAACATTATTTCCAATGTAATTTTTCGCTAACTCCTTGTTTAATTTTCAAATTTTTGCCTTTTTGGCCTTTTTATGATTCAAAGTGATTGAATCTTTTTCGTAAATTTTAAATTATTGTTTTACGCATAATTTGGTCTATGCTGAAGATCTTGATCAAGTTTAAAGTTAATCTCGGATAACTATCGTCCTTTTCTGAGGCCATTTTCAATAATCCGCTTCTATTTGGCGCTTTCGAATTTGTGGACTTTTTACCAAGTCCTTTGACGATTTTAAAAATTCTTTGAGTTTACAAACGAGTTAGTATTAATTGCGCTGTTGAGCTGAACAGAATTTGATTTTCGATTTGGTCAAATATATGATTTACAATAACAAACTGACCACTATAAAAAATTTCAAAATATTTTAAATTTTGCGAGTACAATAATTAAGCCCTAATTCGAAAATCATTTGATCGATTGACTTCAAATTTCATAAGTAGCTGAAATTAAGTTGCCAGTTCGATATCTGAAAAAATGGTGCCCTTAAGTCTAGCCATTCTGTCGCAAATTAATTTTGAAATTATGTCTAAATTTTTATTTCCACTACCTTAGAATGATAATGACATAATGACAAAATTAAATCTTACTTAACTCTTTGCATACATCTTTTTTATAAACTGAACCGGCATATAAGTTGAAGTCAATGCTATCATTTTATTTTCAAAATGAATTTGTCCCATTAATGTCCACACCTTCTTGCGAGTATCGAACATCATTATTTTCTTTAGTGACTTTATCAAGAGTATTATATTCGACTTATGTTGATCCATCTGCAAGTCATCAAAAGATAGATGCATATCTGCGAACGGTTTAGACTTCTCGATAGTTTTCTTTAACATATCGAAGACGCGAAAACTCAATGACTTCGTAATGATGTAACATACATCGTTTACGATGCATGCATGGATTCGATGTTCGGCAAATGGGCTATTGTACCAATGAACATGTTCCACAGGTAAAAAGACATATAATTTTTGCTCCTTTTGAGTGTAGCAAATGATATGCATCTCTCCTTTGTATTCAATTAGAGTGTTCTTTTGAAGATCAACCCAATCTTCAATTTTCTTGACGCCATCCTGAATGTAGGCTCTGTAAGAACTGAAAAGAGAAAGAACATAATATTACATTAATTTAAAAAATGTTCAGAATAATAATTGCGATTAATAAAACTCACCTTTCTCTATCAAATTTTGGCTTAAAACAATCATGAAGTTGATTATAATAAGCGCTTGGAGATCCAGACATATCTAAAAACCGATATTTTTTTTGAACAAGATCAAATCTAACCCCAGTTCGGCCAGAATCAAAGATAACGTCGACAACATGTTCTTCGCTTATGACTCCAATAGGAATTTGATCATCTTCGTCGAATGAAGCACAATATGACCAAAAATTGTCACCAGTGTATAAACTCATACCAATTTTGTTCTCGGCCAAAAAATAAAGAGAAATTAAATGTTTCTCTTTGATTCGGCTATTAAAACATGAATTGCGGCATTCATTTGGTTCACATGATAATGCATCAAGTTCATCTGGAAGATTTTTAATCATAAATTCATTTTCTTTTATATGCAAATAACAGGTTTTGAATGTATAGCACCAACGTATACATTTCAGGAGCTCCTGAAGATGAACGATACGACATTGATCATGCTGAATCCAATTTAAGATGGCTTGAAAAATGCTGTATTCAGTTTCAACACATAAATCCAACGACAGAATGTATTTGACAGCTTCCAACGGGAATTCCAAAAAATACTCACCATTAATGAGTCTTAAAAAATTTCTACTCAAAAAAGAATTAAGCATGTTATAGTTGACTGAAGTTTCATTTTTCAAATGGTTAATTAGCGCCGGAATATGTTGAACTGTAAAATTTTTTCCGAAAAATGATTCCGAACTTTCTAAAGATGGTATCCTCTGATGACTCGAAACTTCAATCGGTATTTGAACGTTGCCCATTTTGATTTAAATTCAATAAGACTGACAACAGATTAAAAGGTAACCGAGAAAAAGATAAAACAACTTACTTTTTTAGTTGAACTTGATTCGAAAAAAAAGAAAACTAAAATATAAGAAACAAAAGACACACTTTGTGTCTGACAAAGTCACAGGTTGAAATGATAATTTTGAAAAGCTAACAGCTCCACAGACGATCACAAGTAGACCTGCGCATTCCATGCTTAATTTTTTTTGTTTATCTTGTTGATCAATCACCGCTAATTGTTAAATCTTCAAATTTTAACCGTTTATTGTGAAAACGGTTTTTGGTTGAATATCTTTTGGATCAAGATAACAATGTTTGCAACATCAACAATAAATATAAGTTGAACCTTTTACTGTTTCCAATTTCATTTCTTTAGTTAATGGATAAGATTTGATGCCATTGCATGAAGTGCGAGTATTTAACACAATGATAATGATTTTTCTTTAGTCTCAAGCTATAAATGACCATTAAATATGTGTCTTCTTCACCATTACATTCAAATTAAATTAAGCTGTCAACAGAATCAACAATTTCATTTTCAACACTGATTTATCAAATGGTGATTGACTCAATTGACTTTGCTATGTGATGTGGTACATGGCTTGGAGACAGTTCCCCGCGCCCTGCAATGAAGTTATCTAAAAATATTGTCAATGCATAATCAACAACCAGCAAAGTGGAATTAAATATAATTTTAATGAACTGTTGTTAATTCAGCCATCAAAGATCAAAGCAATATCTCATCCGTCTGAGCAACTTGGCTATAAACATCTTGTTTTTTGGTGCTGATTATCCAAAGATGAATAGGCTTTAACTCTTTGTTTTAGGAAAAGGTTTATTTGCTTTGGATCTTTTGCTCATCAATTATGGTCAGTAACTTTTTCGAAAATTATCTACAGTAGAGATGTTCCGATATGATTGATCGATCGAAAAGATCGATAATCGGAGAGAAAAATTTGATCGTGATCAATTTTAAAGGAGATCGATCATATCGACACATCCTCTGCTCGATATCAGAAGTTTGTTTTGATTAAAATTGTCTTTTAGAGTGATTTTTGCGTAAAAAATAGTGAAAAGAAGCTCAAATATCGAAAAATTCCAGATCGATATTTATCGCTAGTTTAAGAGATCGATCGACTCAGAAAAAAGATCGATCGAAAAGATCGATCACCCCTGTGATCGAAAATCGCCCATCTCTAATCTACAGTATTCACGTTTCTCGTCAATTTGAAAATTTGTTGTTCAAGAATAACTAATTCTGTCTCAATGAGATGCCTGATTTTTAAGATTCTTGACTTACAAATGTAAATGCAAAAAAACGTCAACAATGTAAGAGGAATTAATTCTGCGTGTTAACTTTATGCACTGGCCACACGCTTTCTCTAGTTTGTATGCGCTACAAGACTTTTGCCTATTGGGCCACTTTCCAACTAAAGAAATGTCAAGCGAATTAAAAAATGCGAAAAGTAACTCAATTTCGGCTAAAGGTCAATATATTAAACTATTGAATGATAACTTCACTTAATCAATTTACAGTTGTATCTCCAATACAGGAAAATGTAATAAAAAATTGGTAATGAAATTAGTCAATGAATCCTACCCTATCCCACATCGTTCGGATGCAACGGGTAGGTTTGACAACCGCCCAACAGTTAATGGCCTAAGACTTTAACGTTAGACGAAAAGTCGCTGACTTTTTATTTCTAACAGTCCTAGAACCCTGTCAGACGCTGCCAAACCTACTTGACAACACACTACCTCTATTATTGAAAAGGTTTCAACACGACTAATAATAATGATATAATAAGGTCCTGATATTATATCAGTTTTTTTCATTTTATTCATTATTACAGATAATTCAGTTGAACAAGATGATTCCAATCACATAATTGAATAGATGTCAAAATTTAAATTATTTTTTCCTGTTTAATTACTTAATCTGATCATAAATAGTCATAATTATTAATAGTCTGGGGGTTTAATCAATATTCAGATATTTTCAACTGAACAACAAATAATAGTTTTACAAACCAACTCCACTTTGGATTCGACCAAAAGGATATGTATGATCATGAAAAACATTTTGCAGTTCATCTGCATGATGTGAACGGTTCAATAAGTTTTGAAACTCAATCATCTTATCATGACATTTATATTTGAAAGGGTTTAAAGCGAGAGGAAGGGTAATTGTGTAAAAACGAAAAATTACAAGATTCTTTATTCAGGATAATCGTTAATTTTGTCCAGATGTTCTGCAATTTTGCAACATTTATTCTCATTTAAAAAAAATCAGATTAAACCATTAAAAATTTTATTCAGTTAAATTACGATTATCTCGAAATTTTCAATACACTATTATTAAATGGTATACAGTTGGATACAAAAATCTCATTTATTAATGGTGATAGTAACATAAATGTAAAATTAAACCTTACTTTACTCTCTTTTATGTATCAAACTTTTTAATAAACTTCACTGGAATATCAGTTGAAGTTAAAGCTATCATTCTATATTCAGAATAAATTTCCCCCATTGATGTCCACACGTTTTTGTGAGTGTCGAAAATCAATATCTTTTGCTGAGATTGGATCAAAAGTATCACATTCGCCTTGTGCGAATCAAGCTGCAAATCTTCAAAAGTTAAATTCATTCCATCAAACGGTTTACTCTTCTCGATAGTTTTCTTGACCATATCGAAGGTACGGAAAGTCAATGATTTAGTGATGATGTAACATACATTTTTTAAAATGATTGCATGGATTCGATGCTCGGCAAATGGTTTATTATACCAATCAACATGTACAACAGGTAAAAAGAAACACAATTTTTGATCCTTTTGTGTATAACCAATGATGCTCAGTTCTACGTTATACTCAATCAAAATGTTCTTTTCAATATCAACCCAATGATCAATTTTCTTAACTCCATTTTGAATGTAGGCTCTGTAGGAACTGAAAAGGGAAAGAACATAATAATACATTAAATTTAAAATTAGGTTGACAATAATAATTGCAATTAATAAAACTCACCTTTCTCTATCAGATTTTGGCTTAAAACATTTGTAAAGTTGATTATAATAAGCGTGTGGAGATCCAGACATCTCTAGCCAACGATATTTTTTTCTAACAAGATCAAATCTTATCCCAGTTCGACCAGAATCAAAGATAACGTCGACAACATGTTTCTTGAAGAATAAATTATAGACGTTTTTAAGATTATCTTCTTCGAATGAGCCACAATATCGCCAACAATTGTCATCGGTGTATAAACTCATACCCATGGAATTCTCATCCAAAAATAGAGAGAAATTAAGTGTTTCTCTTTGATTCGGCTATTCAAACATGAATTTCGACATTCACTGGGTTCACATGCTAATTCATCAAGTGGTGGAAGGTTTTTGAGGATGAATTAGTCTTCTTTTATATGCAAATAGCAGTCTTTAAAGGTATAACACCATCTGATACATTTCATCAGCTCATGTAGATGAACACCACGCGATTGATCATGTTTGATCCATTTAAGGATGGCTTGAAACACTTGGTATTCAGTTTCGATTGATAAATCCAACGATAGGATGTATTTAACAACTTCCAGCGGGAATTCCAAAAAATATTCACTATTCATGATTCTCAGAAAATGTCTACTCAAAAAAGAATTAAACACCACAAAGTTCTGAAGAAAATTCTCATCTCTACAATTCTTAAGCAAGTCATGAGTTTTTTCGGCGGTTAAATTTCTTTCGATAAATGTAAAACACGAATTTTTTATAGATTCAACCTTCAGATGAGACGAAACTTCTAACATGGACTTAAAGTTCTCTATATTGATTACTATCCACTTGGAATACAGCCAATTGATTACTGATTCGAAACAAGATTCGTTCAGATCAAACTAAATTTTTCTTTCAACTTGAGAGGAACACAATTCATTTAAAAATGGGATTTTTGCACAAATCAAAGATTTAGAAACTGTACTTGATGAGCGATTAATTAACTCGACTTCATCTTCACTTTTGATCTGAATCATAATGCAAAAAACAGCAAATTAAAAAGGTAGAAATCAAGATTGATAAAAACAATTTACTTATTAAAGTTGAACTTGATTCGATTAAAAACAAAATTTAAAGAAACGGTTGAGACAAAATCACAGCTAAAATGGTGAGTTTGGAAGCCAACAGTTTTTCAGATTGTTTATTCAGAAGACTTAAAGTGAGTAAAAATGGCAAGCCTTGAGTTCACCAATTCTTGTGCTAATTAAGCCAACTTTGGGACGATATGTTTATCTTGTCCAACCACTGCTAATTGTTAAATCTTCAAATTTCAACCGTTTATTGTCCAAACGTTTTTGGTTGAATATCTTTTGGATCAAGATAACAATCTTTGAAATATCAACAATATTAGTTGAGCCTTTTACTGTTTCCAGTTACATTTCTTTAGTTAACTTTCAAATGTTTTCAACTGTTAATTGGATAAGATTTAACGCCATTACATGAAACCCGAGTATTTAACGGTATAGTGTCCGTTCGCCAAACTAATTCTTGAGCAAACAAAACAAGAACATGTTTTACAGCTCTAAACAAGAATAATCTTCCAGCTTTACTTCGAGATTATCAATTAGTTGTTTCAAATCTAAGCTTTGAAAGAACATATTTTGATCTATTTTTTATTAAAATTCATATGGTTTGAATATGCCATGAACAGATCATGAACACATGAAATCAATCAAATGTAAAGTATAAAGAGGACAGAAGCAGGCAATTCTAATCATTTTTAGTTTTGAATTTTTTCACGATGGAGCGATAAATTTTATACTGATAGTTATATCAATAACGCGATTTCATTAACTGAATACTTACAAGGGATGCATGGTAGGTGATACGAAGATTCTGAACTTTTTTTGTGCTTTAAATATTCTAATGGGTCAGATATGAACCTTTGTCAAGCCTTTCGTTTCGGAAATTCTCCGTTTCAAAGTTACAGGGTGTCAAAGTTTCAACTTTTGCATAGTTTAACACTATTGAAAGCAATATGGATTTGTTAAAAAACATATTTTACCAACATATTGACTCAATTGACTTTGCTATGAGATGTACATGGCTTGGAGACAGTTTCCCGCCCCCTGTAATGAAGTTATCTAAAAATATTGTCAATGCATAATCAACAACCAAAA